TAAAAGTTTGGTGAAACTCAATTTTGAGGGTTTTTTTTGGTAATTTTGAGGTTGTTAAAAAGTAGCTGTTAAAAAATGAAGTTTTTATATCTTTTCTTTTTTTTTGCAGTAAATTACGATCGTTGAAACGTATGTTCCCAAATTTGCGTATCATCGGTGGACAGGAATTGATCCTGAACTATGCACTTGTAATCTACCAGAATACACATCTAGTGGAAGTTGGCCTTCCCAAATTGACCGCAATCATCAACGGTGGTGTACGGATAATGGATAATCAACAGCTGTGCTATAGCCGGTACATTGATTGGGGCCAAATTCTGATCGGTCCTGCAAATGATATTTTAACGGATCGAAATAAAGGAACCGAATCTAGTATGGTTTTTTTTCTCTTTTTTTTTTGGTACTGATTTGTCTTTTTTCAGTTATTTTTTTACTTTTCATATCTTGTCCAGCTGTTTTGTTATTCTTCTCAGCGCCGATGAAGTTGGCAATTTCTCCATTCTTCTCTGTTTTGAGCCTTTTTCTCACCGCTGGTGAAGTTGGCGCACCTTCTCCATTCTTTGCTGTTTTGAGCCTTTCTCATCCACACAATTCGATATGGCCGTTCAAGCGGTTCCTTCCAGTACAGTGACAAAATTCCACACATTATTTTAATATTACATGGGTCTGTTATTTCTTTTTTTTCATATCTTATTTTCTTAATTTTTCTCCCATAATGTTTTCCTCTTTTCCTTATTCTCTTATTTTTTCCCTCTCATTTACCATCTGTTATCTCTCATTCTTGCCACATGATCACCCCGGGTGTTTTTCCTGGCGTGCATTGTTTTTTTTTTTGTTATCAAAGCAGTATTTTTTCAAACATAGATGGGACTGTGAGACGGGTTTCTTTTAAGCAGTGATCTTTTTAATGATTGTAAGGATTTTGAACCGTTTTTTTTTTTCAAAAAGTTGATAAAGTTGAGTAAAAAGACGGGCGGAGAGGAGGGGGGGGGGAGGAGGGTTATACAGCTTTATTTTTACTTTTAAACAAAATCTTGTTTCAGATTTATGCAGTGATGATTGTGTGCCGCAAAATGAAGCCCGTTGTCATAGACTGGATCAGACACTGTCATGTTGGGATGCCGAAACCTGCCAGCTTGGTATTTTTTTTTTAATTTCTCATTGTTTTGCCGATTGTAACAGAGCGGGAAATGGGGCGAAAATTGCTTAAAAATATATCCATTTTCATAAAAGCAGTCACAAATTCTCTGTTTGTTCTTCCTCTGTCTTCTCCTTCTTTCGCCTATCCGTCTTGCAAATTAGTTACATGACTATTCAAAACATGACAGGTAAGGAGGCTGTACTGATGTTCTCGCTCCTACCCGCATGCAGAGTTCGGTCTGTGTTTACAGCTAAGGGATAAACACATAGGCTTTATCTTAAAATCTGTTCTTAAACATGATACAGAAGTCTAATTCTTTTATTTTATTGCTGCAAAAAAAAAGATCGACAGCGTGCAGGGTATCATTGCGAACAAATGAGAAAGTAAAATTTGAATTTGCTCAAAATTTGAATTGTCAATTGGTTGCCAGTAAGGTGAAATCTGAATATGCTAGCTCTGCTAATAATCGATGGATATCGCCCATAAAATGAGTGGCGCCCATTCGGACGCCATACGATGGCGGTCACAAGTTCGGGATCGAAGGATCTGATACAGCTTCGCCTGACGCTTGAGCACATCTCAATTGAC